AGGAGCGAGAGGAGAGGGAGGAAGGGATGGAACGAGGAGTATCGAACACAGTCACTATCTCTTCTCTATCGTTACTCGCGGTGCAACCTCCCAGGCAACTAATTCACCTTTGCAACTGTATCGACACCCTACCGCTCTATCGCTCGCAAGTATATTCGTTCCTTCCTCGATTCCCTTTTTCTCCTTCTTCGTCCTTCTCTTGCAACGTTCGTCTCGATAAGATATTCAAGCGGTTTAGAAGAGAAAAAAATATACATACAAATGTACACACCATTTAATAATGATTTGCATGTATTTTTAGATAATTGTTTTTTTAGCAACTGCTTTGTTAAACCTTTTTCATGTTTGACATTTTCTTTGTTATTAAAAATGGATGTTTTTTGCGAAAAAATAAAAAATATTTTAGATTCCCATCAACAGTTTTTGTCGAAATGCTGAATATTCATTTCATTTGTTGGTTAATTTATTCGAATTTTTAGTAACATCGGAAGATCGTATTTAGATTTTAATTTGCGAACTAATATTGCAACTCTAATAAATATCAACGAATATGATGATTCACCAATAAAGTACTGACGACAGAATAACTAAGTAGATAAGACGCGTAAATAAATCGCGAAGATATATACGTAAGGAAACTATAGCGATACAATGCAGAGAAGGTCTCAGGCATATCGAGTGTCCTTTCAGCTGCAAACAGTACGATAAATTCGGAGCAGATTCTATAGCCTTAGTCAAAAGTATAGTATCTTCACAAATTTATGTAAATATTCTATATTTAATAAAAACAAATTAAATAATAATTTTATTGAAAATATTTATTTTTATAACAATTTTAACATTTTAATAGTTTTCTTTTGGATTTCATTACTTCTTTTTCTAAGAAAATGCATTTTCCAATAGATTAAAAATGCTTATTATGGCTAAGGTTATACTTTAACAGTACTTTCGTTGATATTTATTAGAGTTGCAATATTAGCTCGCAAATTAAAATCTGAATACGATCTTTTGATATATATATGTTACTCAAAATTTAAATAAATTAACTAACAAATGAAATATTCAGCATTTCGACAAAGACTGCTGATGACAATCTATTTTTTATGTTATCAAATGACGTCCTACTCAATCCGTTACGTTTCGATTTCGGTGTTGTAGTTGTATTGAGAGCGTGTCGATGTTTCCATTTCCTGTGCGAGTTCACCGTCAAGGATTGAAACCGTTTCTCGTCATCGCGATACTCCCATTTCGTTCTTTACCTTCTGACGACGATAATTCGCCTCTGCAACTGTGTAGTAACCCCACCACATGATTCTGCTACTTTACTCCGGTACTCTCCGGTTTTCCACGATGACGATCCGGTTGTCCTAGGACCGGATCAGCTCGTTGTTACCGTACTCTGCTTGGCTTAAATGCCTTCGACTCTCTCTCTTTGATCGATGTCGTAACTCTGGAAGTCTTGTGAGATACAGAGATAAAAAATAATGATTACTCCAAGCTAATTAAACTATAATTAGAATTAACTCCCGCGTTGATATTAAAAATATTTAAAAATTAATACAATATGAAAAACTACCGTAACGGTTTTATAGTGCGAATATAAAGCTGTAAATAGCATAGTAAATAATTATAATTTGTATTATTTGTAAGATCGTGATACTTATTGACAGTTTGATCAGCTTAAATCAGGTTTTGCAAGCGCTGTATCATTCTGTTTTATGGAATATTTCGAGGTTTTTTTTTTTGTAATCATGTCATGCAATTCTATCTTGAAAGCACAATAAATCAAGATGTTATGCGGAGAGTATTAATTATCTGATTAATCATGGTAAGTTATTCATCTTCGTTTCGTCATACTTCGAGGAAAAACTTTTTATATCACATTTTTTATACTATTTAGATTCGTCATGAGACTTGTCATATATACAAAATAAAATTTTTCCATTTGAAATAGAAAGAAGAAATTTTTAATTATGAAAAAAAAATGAAACGATTACATATTTAAAAAATATAAGACCGCTTTTATTACATATTTCTATATGCTTTCTATATGCGTGCTTTTATTTCTGCAATTCTATAGTATATGAACTACATATATGCTAAATGCGTATTAATATTACAAACATGTTCTATAAGGCTATAAATTTTAACAATTTTGGATTCTTTAGATCTTAATTTTACAAGATTGATTTCTTATTACTGATTTGCAGAATGGAATTTTGTCAACTGTAATGCTCGTGGTTTCTGTGAATTATATGTTTTGATTACATAATATTTTAGAAAAAAGTTATATCCAGAAAAATAAAATAAATACACAACAAATTTAGAGAATGATACGTATTTTCTTGATATTTCATAATATAATTTTTATTTAATTTCACAAAGTGCAATTTTTCATGTGCACATTTTCTGATTCATTCCGATCATTTGTATAACATTATCGCTACGGCTGTACTTGGCGAGAACTTTATCCAAGTCGCGGCTTTCTGGGTCAATCTCTAGTTAGCTCCTTAGCTTTAGGTTGCTTGGGAAACTAAGCACGGCGAGTAAATCGAGGAGGCCGATGTATACGCCCCGAGACCTTAGATCATCGGATCCTCATGGATCTCCACGCTCCGCCTTGTTGCGCAACCGTCAGTGATCTCGGGCACAACGGTCCTGACACAGTTACCTGGTCAGGGCGTTACGACGCGACGGGATTGAAAAGAACGAAGAGAAAAAGGACGAAGAAGAAGAAGAAGAAGAAGCGGAGAAACGCGAGTCGCTCTCGAAGAGCCTTCCCCGGTTTCACGGTTTGATGACTTTTTTTTTGCGACCTCTTGTGTCGCTGGACAAAAAGACGCTCTCTGATCCCTCGCCGCGGCTTTTCTCCGCTAAATGTCGTACCGTTTCGCCCATTTCGTTGGCGATTCTCTCGGCGACGGCGGCGTGTTGCAACCTGCACAAATTTTGGCCTTCAGTCTCGGCACGCGGCCGCCGTCATGTCACTTGATGACGTTGAAAGCCAGCCCCATTCGTGCGACCTTACAATGCTCGATGACACTCCGAATGACCGTCGTTATAACGAATTGCATCGACAATGGAATCTTCTTGCAATTCTGCATAGTCACAAAATCGCGCACAATGTAACCTCCATCGCATTCTTAAAAAGAAAAAAAAAGGTGAAATAAACGATTTAACCATTTATCAGAATCCTTTGTTGTGTCGCGAGTATTGTATCGCGAGTATCGATTTTCTGCGTTCGAAATTTATTTGCGACGTTCATTCGCGCCTGGTTCGTTGCTCAACGAGGTCTCCGAGAGAACCGGATGAACGACGGAGGTTCACCGTGTTGGTGTCACTTCAGGGTCGTCGATCGTGATATTTGAGGCTCATGGAGGCGGGTCGGAATTCGCGACCGCGTCGCGACGGATTCTCTCCCCCACTCCCCCCCCCCCCCCCCCCCCCGCCCCCCCTGTAGCATTCTATTCTCATACAACACCTTCCCGGGGTTGGATGGTGACGATGGCGTGCATGCACGTGTGTGCACGCGGCGCCCGCTGCAGAACTCATCATTAAACGCCTACGCGGAATATCGGCGAGGACAGCGCGACACGATGTCGTTGATGGTGTCCGTGCATGTCGCGACAAAACGTACGCGGAATAACGTCGTCCTAGTAAGAAACGTCGTTGACAATGGCGTGCGTGCACCGGAAGCTTCGCTCACTACCGTGCCGTGGTGAAAGTTAATCATTCTAAACGCTCCTCTCTTGAAGATTAGCCGAGGATCGTCCGGGATTCACTGGGCGAGGATCGCTTCTATTCAGCATCTTGTTAACCGGAGAATGTTATTAAATTGAAAGCGTTTCATTTTCTAAGATATTTATAAAAAAGCGAATGCTATGAGATGCGATCGCACAAGCATTAAATATGTGGAAAGCATAAAAAATATTGTTGTATATTATCACATAGAAAGAATGATTATGCTGAAATATGTAAAAACTTTTAGCTAGATACAGAAATTTAAATATGTGATATAAAATAATATTGTTAGATTATTAAAATAATTATGTAGAACGCTTAAATGTTGGTGACAATGCTGCAAAAAGTTTTAAGTTCAAGTGAAATTATATTTTCAGGTTCACATCTAGTTAAATTCTTAGATACTTCAAACAAAATCGTACTTTTTATGTAATATATATTATGAAAATTATATGTTAGAAAAATAGCTAAAAAATATTACTCTCTCATGTGTATTTTAAAATCGTTATTTTTAAAGCGTGTTTTAGTAATTAATAATTTTTATATTGGAAATAGCGTGCAGTAGGCACGATCGAAATTAGAAATTAAATTCAGGCGTCAT